TTGTGCAGCCACCTGTGCAGCCTGACGGTAGAATCAATCCTTCCGGTGTTAGTCAGATTAATTTTGATTTTCATTGACAGATTTCTTTTGCCTGGGTTTTGTGATAGCCCTTGCATCGGGGAACCTGGGACAAGGATTCGGGGTGATTTTTTTCTGCTTACGTCACAAAATTTCATATATACTTTTGAATAATCTTTTCAAGGTTTCGTTGATACCCAAAAAGTACGTACACTCTTCCCGCCGTCCCCTCCCCTTTTGTACTGCTAATTGGTAAAAATCCTTTATGACAAGTCAGCCGTGCTGAGTTTTTCCTAGTGTTACGATTTTTCTTGGGTTACGAAATTTGAGATTGTTACGCAGAATTCTTGGGATTCCAGAAGATCGAGTAGTATTATATTGTCTGTCAACAGCTTTGTTTTATTGGGCGTTTACTGACCTTTTTTTATGCGTTTTTTGCATCTATGCAATGCAGAAAACGCATATTGGCGAGAGGTTGTGTGTGTGTGCGCCATGCGCTTGTGCCGATTTCTCATCTCAAGACCTACAAGAGCTGCAGGGCTGAAATTTTGGAAACTTTTCTACATGCGCGTACGGGCCCCACTCCCGAAATAGGCGCTTTTACTCGCGTGGTACCCACGTAGGTTTTTCTCGGGTAATTTACTAACTCGGGAACCTGAGAAAGCTAGAAAGCTGAAATTTTAAACGGTTGTTTCTAGACAGCCCTGGTGGTCAGTCCCATTTATCTTAGCTAGAAGCATTTGCCGGAAAACTGGTTCCGTTAGCGACAAAAAACTGCGGGGAACTATGCAAAAAACGCATCTTCGCACCGGCAATCGGTGCGCTGGCCATTTATTTCTACTGAAGTGGCGAAGGCATATTTGGTCGGGTAATTGTTACTAACTGGAGTCATGCAGTCCGGGATCGAAGGACTTGGCATAGCTGGCAGTATTCCAATAGCAACATTAACAGGGACTACCCAAATTATTGATTGCCTGGATAATTTTGATATTCTTGGTAGTGGTTTTTTGTGATTATAGAGTCAAGTAGTGGCCATCAAAACACTGAAACCAGGCAGTAGTGATAAAGCAAAAGGCGACTTCCTCATGGAAGCTTCAATAATGGGACAGTTTTGCCACGAAAATGTGATACAGCTTTTTGGAGTTGTAACGGAAAGTGAACCGGTAAGATTTTAACTTTTAATTTAATTTCTCAAACTAACTACGAAGAAAATTTTAGGGGCGAAATTAAGGTTGTATTTTCCTGAATTTTCTGAAAATAGTGGAGGAGAGGGAGGAGAAGCGCGGGGAAGAAAGGGAGAGGGGGTGGGGAAGCTACGGTATTTTTTCGCCAATACCTGGATCTGCTGTAAATCGTAGTATGGTTCTCCAACTGTGCAGCTGATAACTTCTCCAGTTTTTTTGACCATTGCTTCATTACGCAAGGGGGCAGCGTGCTTGGCGACCTTGTTGTCACTTGAATATTTAAATATTGTATCAGTGGAAAAAATATACTAAAAAACACGATAAATATCTCTTTGAGTGTAGAAGTCAAAATTTCAAAATTTTTTCAAGAAAATTGCAAAATTACGAAAATTGAAACAAATTAAAAAGTTTTTTTTTACTATTAAAACTGACAAGATTTTTTAGGTTATGATAGTAACGGAATATATGGAAAATGGT